ATTTAATAATTTAATTCCAACATAATTTCTTGAATAATCATTAAATAACATAATCATTAAAAATTTCCACGCATAAATAATATTAGCATGTCATAAACACTATAAATAATATCATTAGTTAGTATAATTTGTATACTAGCTAGTAACAGAATAATAATAAAAAGTTATATATATATATATATATATTTATATTTATATATTTATATATTTATATATGTATAGCTTTATGTATTTGTACTATACTCAATGAATTATTCAATCTTATTCAATAAATATAATCAAATGATTGTTGATAACATTCGTCATATTAATTGTTCATGCATGTTACATTTTTAATGATTGCAATGATATATTATTTAAAATGTATGACATCCGTGTCGATAAATGTGTCGTGGCTTTTTCGTATTTTAAGGAACAGAGATTCATTTCTTTTGTACAAAACATTACTACTAATTATATTTATAATGTGTATTAACCTTTCTCCTTCCTGAATGTTCCAGACCAAGTATGCACTATTCACTAACCAAGATATATTTATCGTAATAGCAAATCGTAGCAATCCTGTTATTAATATAGCATCAATGATTGATTCGTCCCAATATTCCAACGGCGCATTCAGAGTCAATATAACCCCAAATATTAAAAATAATGGCCAATAAAAACTGCGAATTATAATAACGAAGATTAATATAATAATAAAATAATAAAGATATATAGAATAGTAATGATTATCATATCGAAGATTATAAAAAATAAGAAAAATTGGAGATTAATATTGTTTCAATATTTACAACATTCTTTTTGTCAATTTTTTTCACTAAATTTAAATAATGGAATTCCATTTCTTTCTTTTTCTCCTAATTATAAAAAGTTAAAACAAATTACAGATATGAATTTATATTAATGGCTTATACAGTGAACATTGTATTATATTAATCATTAATTCTCATCTATTACTTGAATGAATATCATATTTTAATTAATTGAATTTCATAATTTTCATTTTCTTATAGTGAATATTAATTAATGTTTAATGTTAAGAGAAACATACATCTTTTGGATATAAATATAAACATCATTTTCAATATCGCGTAAATCAATGCTACGTTTCATTTCCTCAAGATTGATACTGGGCGACAATATATTACTTATATAATGGCTATAGAGAAATCCT